ATGTATAATGAAGGATATTATGTTTAGCAGTGATCTATTCATATAGGTGTATCTTGACGGTGACGCCGTATACCACATACAAATTCCTACGTTAATTGGATATGTATTGGCTGAGATATGGCAAAAAGGTCGTTTGATGTTGTCGACAACTGTCAACTGAATCATCATGAATCATCTAAAAGCAGATTGAAGAAGAAATATATGAGTCACTTTCCGATTTCCCCTCAGCCCCTCATCCGGATAATTGTACGGATACCAGCCGCGACCTTTCATGAGTGTGCGAATTGGCATTACTGTACGGATTTCGGTCACATTGGGGTTTCAAGTCAAAAGAGCCGCGTACCCAGTTGCTGGCGGGACCGCCCACGGGCCTCGCTTGCCAGTAGTTCTGGGCCGGATACCGGCGTGCGCTCTTGACCTTGGTATTCCGATGAGTCACTGAACTCATGGCACACACATGAAAGGTTGCTTTCGACTGCAAACCAACAAAAGGTAAGTAAAGCACACAAAACTCAAAAACCAATCTAAATCGTTGACTCTAGTTCGCTATCAAATGCTTCGTCAACTACAAGTTCCGTAACCTCCAAGGCTCCGCTCAAGTGAAGTTCGTCAAGCACATCGGATCCTTCGACGTCGTGGTTCAGGCAATCCGTATCTCATCAACAGGGGAGTCAATGATTTTGCACTTTCGAAACCCACTCACAATTGTTGTGCGCGGTAGGTTCTCCCACGCCGTGCCGTGTTGACCCCCTCCACCAAGTCAAAGCGATCAGGGGGGATCAAGTTGAACCTCCCTCCTTTGTGGCCCTTGAGCTCTTCGCGGTATTTTTCATGTCCATATCCCTTTATCCAGACCGTCCCCTGTTCCTTTTGCTCGGATCGTCTTCTTGGGAATGTATTCAAAGTTGATACCAGTCTGATCGGCCTTGTAGATCTTTTCGATTTCGTGCTCGCGAACAACATGTTGAACTCGCGAAGGATATGCATCAAGGGCTGCTTGTCCTTGTTCGTGATTTGCTTGACCAGACCTGCTCTTGGAACGCATCGGCAGCCACCAACGCCTCAAGAATCATTTCACCCATGGTGCGCTCGCACGAAATTGGTCCGGTGTGAGCCCAATGTCTGCCGCAACTTCAAGGGCTCTTTGCTGTAGGATCACGTTGCTGACTGGAATGCCTTCACTGCGCAATTCGTTGATCCAGGCGACTAATCCTTCTTCCGTAGCATAATCCAATGTCGAAGACGTTCCCAGGAGTCTTAATGATGTCTTGTATTGTTGAGTCGTTTTGCTGGCCGCCTCTTCAATTTCCTTTCGATTTTGCTCCCAGCGGTAAACTCGTTTCCATGCTGTTTTGCGTGTTGTACCGGTGGCTCCCGGAAAGTACATGTCAATGGCGTAGTTCGGTGAATGATCTCGGGCAACGTTGATGATGCGAGGCTTGTGTACCACTGTGTATAGCGATTTCTTGTATCTTATGGCAACGCGTTTAGTGTTCTTGATCGATGGGCGTCCTCTTGCCTTGCTATCCCCAATGCGTGCCATGGCGTGCGCAGATATCCCTCCCAAATAATCAAAATACTCGCTTAAATTCAATAGAATTAATGTCAAAGGTATTTCAACATAACCAGATACTTGTAAAAATATATACTCTGGAGTAGACTACAGAAATACTTTTATGGAGGTTTTTGAGTTCCCATTCAACAAATCAACTACGGTATTTTAATATTGTCGCACTATTCAATATGCAAGAAGTTGTTATATTTTTAGCCAATGGGTGACAAGTACTTCTACGACCTAATACATGATATCATGCATGATTTATATTGGGCATACAGGGAACGACGGAAATCCTTCCCCCGTGGTACTAGTACAATATCTTGATATTTGTATAAGGTAATATTATTTCGACGTTGGGT